CCCGCGCGCTTAAAGGCCGAGCTCGGGCTGCATGTGAAGAGGCACGGAGAAGGCTCAAACGCCCTTGGCTCGTACCGCCTACTGCAGGGCAGAGTGGGAAGGAGGATCAAGCGCCACTTGCCCTGGCACCCCTGAGCGAAGGCCGCGTTGCGCGTAATCATACCTTCCAATGGCGGGCGCGCCAAGCTGCTAGTTTGACGCCGAAACTATTTGAAACCCGCGCGCGGCCATTTTCAAAACCACCATGAACCATTTTCAACTTCAGCACCGCACGGCCCGCAAGCGGCCTAGAACCATGAGAAAACCATTTTCATCATTCTTAATCTGATCCCCGACATGCCCGTGACCCTATCCAACCGGGGGGGGGGTGCCGGCACCGGGGGGGGGGTGCCAGCACCGGGGGGGGGGGGGCCGGCGGGGGGGGGGGGCCGGGCACCGGGGGGGGGGGGGGGCCGGCACCGGGAGGGGGGGAGCCGGCACCGGGGGGGGGGGGGGGCGGCACCGGGGGGGGGGTGCAGGCGCCCGGGGGGGGGGGGGGGGGGCCGGCACCGGGGGGGGGGGGGGGGGGGGGGGGGGGCCGGCACCGGGGGGGGGGGGTGCCGGCACCGGGGGGGGGGGGGGCCGGCACGGGGGGGGGGGGGGCCGGCGCCAGGGGGGGGGGTGCCGGCACCAGGGGGGGGGGTGCTGGCACCGGGGCTCCTCTGGGGGCTTGGTGGGGAGTCCCGGGGCCCGGTTCGGTTTCACCTGGCCGTTCGGGCCGGTTTCGACCGGCCGGTTCGGTTCGAACCGCCTGGTCCGGTTTCAGCCGGTCCGGTTCGGGCTCCGGTTCGGGCGGCTCGGTTGCATGAGCCGCCGGTTCACGGTTACCAGTTCGGTTCGGACTCTTCCCATAGGGAGCTCCGCCGATGGCTCCAGTGGGGGGGGTCGCATGCGGTTCCCCCACTCAGGGCAGCGCTTCGTAGCCCCATGGGGAGCCCCGCCGAAGGCCCCAGTGGGGGGGTGTCGCATGCGGTTCCCCCACCCAGGGCAGCGCTTCGTGGCCCCATAGGAAGCTCCACCGAAGGCCCGAGTGGGTGTTTTCGCATGCGGTTCCCCCACCCGGGGCAGCGCTTCGTGGCCCCATGGGGAGCTCCACCGTAGGCCCCAGTGGGGGTGCCCGCATGCGGTTCCCCCACCCGGGGCAGCGCTTCGTGGCCCCATAGGGAGCTCCGCCGATGGCTCCAGTGGGGGGGGTCGCATGCGGTTCCCCCACCCAGGGCAGCGCTTCGTGGCCCCATAGGGAGCTCCGCCGATGGCTCCAGTGGGGGGGGTCGCATGCGGTTCCCCCACCCAGGGCAGCGTTTCGTGGCCTCATAGGGAGCTCCACCGAAGGCCCCAGTGGGGGTACCCGCATGCGGTTCCCCCACCCAGGGCAGCGCTTCGTGGCCCCATGGGGCGCTCCACCGTAGGCCCCAATGGGGGGTGCCCGCATGCGGTTCCCCCACCCAGGGCAGCGCTTCGTGGCCCAATGGGCGTTCCACCGAAGGCCCCAGTGGGGGTGCCCGCATGCGGTTCCCCCACCCAGGGCAGCGCTTCGTGGCCCCATAGGGAGCTCCACCGAAGGCCCCAGTGGGTGTGCCCGCATGCGGTTCCCCCACCCAGGGCAGCGCTTCGTGGCCCCATAGGGAGCCCCACCGAATGCGTTGCTCACAAAGACGGTATTCACAATTGCATATGATTGGGTCATTCGCCAGGCGAATATTATTTGTTTCCTCTTTTCCCCTTCCTTGTTTGGGGGGGACCGCGCGTCTATCTGAGGCGATTATAAAAAGGATTCCTTTTGAAACGGATTACGCAAGGATTCCCTTTGTGCGGATTGCAAAGGGATTCCAACTGTGGCGCATTACAAAAGGATTCCTTTTGTGGCATCTTACAAAAGGATTCCTTCGATGGCCGAGTACAGAAGAATTTCTGTTTGTGGAGGCTTACAAAAAGATTCAATTTGCTTCTGACTGGCCGACGTCGCTGTCGTTGAGAGCGCACTGATTGCTTAAGCCAAAAGTGCTATAGAAATCAGTCCTCATATCCTCGCGTCCTCCTCCTCCTCCTCTTCCTCCTCCTCCTCCTCCTCCTCCTGATCCCTCTTCCACATCCATCGTCTTGGTTTCTCTTCTGAGTGCCGCCCTTGGCTCGATCTTCGCATTTACGTCTTTGGACGCACGGATGGGGGAGAAAAACATGAAGGTGGTGGAGGGATCAAGACAAGAAGAACGATTGGATACAGAGTGAGGAATGATAATAAGAAGGATATCAAACATATACCAGGGAGAAGCAACCGAAGAGGAAAGCGACGATGGGAGCCAAAAAACGCACCCCCACAATGGCCCAGACTCCATCCTCCTCCTTCTCCCTTCCATATCCTCCTCCTTCTCTTCCTCCTCCTCCTCTTCATCCCGAACGGCATCTCGGAGCCCAGAGTTGCGAGGATGTCTCCAGCGTAACGGGCTGGACCACCTCGCGCGCGGCATCTCGGACCCCAGAGTTGCGACGATGTCTCGGGCGAAACGTGCTGCGAGGAAGTCTCAGGCGAAACGAGCCGGACCACCTCGAGCGCGGCGTCTCAGAGCTCCGAGTTGCGGGGGCCTCCTGGGGCACCCTTGGAGCATCTTGGACAAAAAAAACACCTGGCACACTGCTGCCTCGCAAAGGACCCAACCATGTGCAGTTGTGAGTACCGCGGCGGTGTGTATCCTCTGCGGTGGAGCTCCCTATGGAGCCACGAAGCGTGCGAGGGGTGTGCGGGGACGCATGCGGGCGCAGCCATTGAGGCTTGCAGTGGCGCTCCTTATGGGGCCACGAAACGTGTGAGGGGTGTGCCGAACTGGGTGGCGGGAACGCATGTGGTCACAGCCACGTGGGCCTTCGGTGGAGCTTCCCATGGGGCCTCGAGACGTGTGAGGGGTGTGCCGACATGCGAGGCGGGGACGCATGTGGTCACAGCCACCAGGACCTTCAGTGGAGCTCTTTATGGGGCCATGAAACGTGTGAGGGGTGTGCCAGAGTGGGTGACGAGGACGCAGGTGGTCACAGCCACGTGGGCTTTTGGTGGAGCTCCCTATGGGACCACGAAACGTGTGAGGGGTGTGCTGACATGGGTGGCGGGGGCGCACGTGGTCACGGCCACCAGGACCTTCGGTGGAGCTCCCTATGGGGCCATGAAACGTGCGAAGGGTATGCCGAAATGGGTGGCGGGGACGCATGTGGTTTCAGCCACTGGGACGTTCGGTGGAGCTCCCTATGTGGCCACGGAACGTGTGAGTGGTGTGCCGAAATGTGTGGCGAGGACGCATGTGGTTACAGCCACTGGGGCCGTCGGTGGAGCTCCATATGGAGCCACGAGACGTGTGAGGGATGTGCCGAAATGGGTGGCGGGGACGCATGTAGTCACAACCACGTGGGCCTTCGGTGCAGCTCCATATGGAGCCACGAGACGTGTGAGAGGGATGTGCTGATATCGTTGGCGGGGACGCATATGGTCACAGTCACGTGGGCCTTCGGCGGAGCTCCCCATGGGGCCTCGAGAGGTGTGAGGGGTGTGCCGACATGTGTGGCGGGGACGCATGTGGTCACAGCATGTGGTGGTCACAGCCACCGGGGCCTTCGGCGGAACTCCGTATGAGGCCACGAAGCGCCGTACTGGGTGCGCTGAATTGGTGGAAATGCAGAGGGAGGAGAGAGGAGGGGCAGGAGGCAAGAGGAGAGGAGAGGAGAGGAGACGCGGCGAGCTGCCGCTTCAAAGTGATGACCCGATACCACAGGATGGTTGGGAAAAAACTCAGAGAGCGGGGAGGTACCCCCCCCCCCCAGAGAGGAACAAGGGTTTGGGATGAAGAAAGAGGAATCTCGTTAGACCGCCTACACCCAGAGGGCTGGTGGGATTGTGGTCCTTTTGGTTTTGAATGATTTTCGCATGCTCGCTGTTTCGGGCCTCGGGGCGCCCATGAGGGCGCTAGACCGCCCAAGAGGGCTCCAAGACGGCCCCAAAGAGCTCCAACAAAGCCCAAGAACGCCCCAAGGCGGCCCAAGATGGCCCAACGCACACCCCAAAACGCCTCCAAGAGGACACCTGGGAGGGCCTACATGAGCAAGAACTGTTGGCGTTCGAATGGTTTTCGAATCATGTTTGCATGCTCGTTTTTCCGGATCTTGAGACGTCCAGGACGGCCCAGTACCCCCCCGACGTCGACCCAAGGCGGCCCACAGCTCCCCAAGGGCCACCCAGATGGCTACAGGAGGCTTGAGAGGGGGGAGGGCTAAAGAAGGCCCCAAGAAGGCCCCAACCCGACAGACATTCCGAGAAGCCTCCCTCAGGAGGCCCCACGAGACCCCAAGAGACCCCCGAGTCCCTCCCCCCTCGACTCCCTCCGCCCTCATCGCCCCTCCAAGTGAGAGCGGCTCGTCGCCCAGTCCATCGTTGCATCATCAGCCTCGTCCCTTCTCTCGTCGGCCGTCGCTCCTCGCTCTTAGCGGATCCCTCATCGCTTCTCCCCCGTCCCTCCTCGATCTCCTCTCTCCCTGCGCATCACTCTTTGATCCTCTCCTGGCAGCAGGTTGCTCCAGCAAGCTGAAGTCCGCAGCGAGAAGCGGTACCCTGCAGCATCTTGCAGCAGCAGCAGCAGGAGCGGACAACAACACGCAGCACGAATCAGGCGGCAGCAGCAGCAGCAGCAGCAGCGGCAGCACGCAGCAACAGCAAGCAACAGCAGGCAGCGGGCAGCAGCTACCCGCCACCAACCAGAACTGGCCATGAGCAGCACCCTGCAGCCACGAGCAACAACAACACGCAGCAGCGGTAAGCATCATCAGGACGCAACAGCAACAAGCAGCAGCACGCAGTAGCATGCGCGGAGTGCGAGGGTCGAGCCCCGCAGTATCGTTTCAGCCTTTCGGCAGCATGTCCACCATCACATGCAACTTCGTGCAGATTTCGTCGACGTAATCCAGGGGTCAGTCCTGGTCAGCTACGGCGCTGGGATCAGCGCGTGCAACAAGGGCGTGCAGTGGCAGCGGGCCCTGGCGCTGCTCAGCGAGATGTGGGAGGCGAAGCTGGAGCCCGACGTCATCAGCTACAACGCTGGGATCAGCGTTTGCGAGAAGAGCGATCAGTGGCAGCGGGCTCTGGCGCTGCTCAGCGAAGTGTGGGAGACGAAGCTGGAGCCCGACGTTTTCTTTCCAACAATGCCAGGAACGCTGCGTGCGAAAACGGTTTTTGCATCAATGGAGTGGCCGACGGCCGCGAGCCGCTCGCGACGGCGCCCCAGACGCTGAAGAGGGCGCCCCGACGGCCCCAAGACGGCTCCGATACGCTCAAGGGACCGCCCCGACGGCCCGAAGACCGCTCCGACCCGCTCAAGAGGCCGCCCCGACAGTCCCAGAGACCTCCAAGGCAGGCCAGGAGGCTCCCAAGACGGCCAAGGAGGACTCCCCAGGAGAGCCCCAAGAGGCAAACATCACCACATTCCTTTCGGAAAACATACATTTGGTGCATTATTGTGCTTTTCGTTTCCGACGCGTCTACGACGGCCAGACTGGCCCCCAAGATCGCCCCAAGATACCCCCGTGAGGGCCCCAAGACGATCCAAGACGGCCCCAAGGCGCCCAAGACGACCCAAGAGGCACCCAAGACAGCCCCAAGAGCTGCCCAAGACGGCCCAAGAGGCGCCCAAGACAGCCCAAGACGGCCCCCAAACGGCCCAAACGGCACACAAGACCGCCCAAGAGAGCCCCAAGAGGCTCCCAGGAAGCCGAAAAGAAACCACAACAGTCCCCCAAACGATCCCCAAGACCTAAGTGGCTTCAAAATTGCCTCCAAGAGAAGAAGGGCGGACGAGAGGCGAGAGGCATATCGCAGGCCCCAAACAGCCGGCCCCCATGACGCCCTAAGTGGCTTCGAGCTTGCCTCCGTGAAAGAGGGGCGGACGAGCCGCTTTAGACGCTCCGGGGGCCTTGGACTCTAAAGTGAGCTGGGATACAGGCGAGAGGTAACGAGCGTGCGTCCGCGGCCGTTTGTGCTCAAGCGGCCAAACGCCTAAATCTGACTACACTTCAGGGCTAGGTGTACGATTCGCCATCGAGACCGAACAAATCATTCGCTTGAGATGGCCCGTCGCTCCCGCGACGACCTCCTACTACTGGGACTATCGCTACTACGATACAACCGAGCTGGAGCTGTGCTTCGCCTAAGGCGTAGCTTCTGACCGGGCCTACCGACCCCCGTCGAACTTGGTAGCGGAGCTGGCCTATGGTGGTCAGCTCTTGCTCTTTTCTTCACCATCCACGGCACTATCTGGTGGACTATTGACATGGTGGAACATCAGGGTGCAGTGGGTCTGCGCGGAGGAATGTACACAACTACGCACAACCGCAAGGACACTTGCAGTGCCAACTCTGCCCTCGCAGAGGCCTCTTGCTCGAGTCCTACATCCCTGCGCTACTACACTCCTGAAGTCCACCCACCTACTCCAAGTGGGAACATCTTTGGAGATGTCATTCTTAGAAACATGCGATACGACATTGCGCCGCCTCCCCCCCATGCAGGCTTACGACTAAACACCACAAACCTCAGCCAACCACATCCGACCACGACCTACGGGGCCGTCGGACTGGGGTTACTATCTTTGGTCTCATATGGGTTGCTATCGGGTGCGCTGTGGGACACATGCGCGGCGGAGACGACACAAGAACGACCGGCCCCCACTGGGACCTGGCCGGTCAAGTACCTTTCCGCGAATTCGTTCGCGAGGTGCACGCCTGGATTACTGTGACCACAGGCACTATGACGCCCTCCCAACAAGCTGCAGCACTGCAACGTAACGTGGTCTGGGAGGCCTCGCACGGACCATAGCCATGAGAGTTCCCCCAGCAGTTACCAATTGTGGCGTCAACATAGGTGGTCGCCATGCTGGTGGTGCCACCTAGAGTATGTTCTTCCCAAGCACGGCGTTCGAGAACTTAGAAAAGGAACGTCAACTCAATTCGGGTACAGCTCTCATCAAATTCCGAGCCCATGCGGGAGGGCGGATCGACCACACATTGGCGCGCTTCGAGATAGCCCGCTATGAGGCTGAAACGGCAGGCATTCACATGCCGAACTTCCAAATTCTAACGGTTATTCTGTTCAGAGCCTCAAGAGTGGGGACGTCGCGTGCACGACAACTTCTACAGCCACTGAACCACCACATGCCGAGGGACCAGCAGCAATTTGACCTGTTGCTTGAACGCATGAGATCATATGCGCACATCGCTGAGCGAACCCCTGACAACATTGGTGGTATCTTCAGCCACTGTCACCGCGCCGAGACCTTTCATGCTGAAGCTAATGCAGGGCAGCCTGCTACGACCGTCTGGAACGACGATCCACAACCAACGGAAACCACCGCACTATTAGCTCAAAATGGTGGTTCGGCCGCGGAATCGCAAGACTCCTGGGCCAGGTACCAGGGACCGCTGGCAACGGCAGTTCCTACACACGCCACTACCCTTGTAGGCTCAACGGGGCAACCCGCTGAGTCCGACTTCGACTCTGAAACCGACGCCGACACGTAATCAGACGATGAAGCGAACGCCCTAGACTACTCCGACATGCCCACGTATCTTACGGAAGATCAACAGGTTCAATGTCTATTCCTAGGATATCAGAAACATAAGCGCAGATGGAGACGATGTAGGAAGAAGCCAGTTCGCATGGTATGACGCACTATCCGACGGGCACTTAGGGGAAAGGGCAAGGGTCGAGGCAAGGGTAAGGGCAGACGACGGCGACTGCATGGCAAAGGTATCACATTCCGATGGGAAAACGTACATGTTCAGCGTATCCGCTTTTTGCGTTGTTACACGGTCCAGGACAGGCCAAGAGGCCCCCCCAAACCCCCTAAGACGACCCAGGCTGCCCCCAAGAGGGCCCCAAGACGGCCCAAGACGGCCCCAGGACAACCCAAGACGGCCCCATGACTGCTACTGAGACGCCCACGACGGCCCAAGAGGCACCCAAGGCAGCCCCAAGAGCGGCCAAAGACGGCCCAAGACGGCCCCAAGCCAGCCCCAGAGGCGTCCAAGACGGCCTCAGACGGCCCCAAGACGGCCCAACACCCAAGACAGCCCAAGAGGCCCCCAGGAGGCCGCAAGACAGTCCAAGGGGGCCCCAAGAGGCCCCCAGAAGGCTGACAAGAAACCCCGACATGCCCCCAAACGGTTCCCAACGAGAAGGAAGCGCCCGCCATCAGTGGCCGTTTAGGGAGCGTTGCCCTCCGTGGGTACGGGCGCGAGCGAAAGTTCGCCGAATAATGAACAGCAGCGTGGGCACGATTTCTCTTTACTATTGCCTCCCAGCTCCAGGGTGCCCTTCGCCGCTGCCGCCCAAGTGAGGCGAGATACACCAGATGCCTCCAGGGAGCGCAGTCCCCAACACAGTTTGGTCCCAGAGGGGCGCGGAGACGGCACCCAAAAGTACGTGGCTCCTTGCGCGTCCACAGTGAGCTCCCATGCACACTCCACCGTGCGACATCGTGAGTGCCCTGGGGCAGCATCGATCTCTTCCGTGGGCACGACGCAGGCAGCAGCAGCGGCGGCACACACACACACACACACACACCAGCAGCAAGCAGCGGCAGGCAGAGGGTAGAAGCACGCACCAAGCGGAATTGGCCAGCAGCAACAACCTGCAGCCACAAGCAGCAAGAACACGCAGCAGCGGCCTGAAGCACTGCCAACAGTACGCAAAAGCGGCCGCAAGCAGCAGCACGCATTAGCATGCGCGGAATGTGAGGTCGGGCCCCGCAATCAGATGCCAGTTCGTGCAGATTTCGTGGACGGAGTCCGCGGGTCAGCCCTACAGACGTCGCCAGCTTCATGCCGGTGCCCACAACCACGACGACCACCACCACCACGACAACGACGCCGAGTGCGACGGGTACGACGGCGGCCTCGCGGCGGCGACGACAACGACGACGCCGACGATGGCAGCGACGACGGCGTCCCCGCGACGGCCAAGCTGCTGGAGCGCTGCGAGAGCTCGGACACGAGGGCGCGGTCTCGCTGCCGCCGCCCTGGCCGCCGCCGTGCTCATAGGTTTTCGGCAAAATCTCCGCCGTTCCTCCGAGAACCATTCCAGAAAAATGTCGTGGACGGAGTCCACGGGTCAGTCCTAGTCAGCTACAGCGCTGGGATCAGCGCGTGCGAGAATGGCGATCAGTGGCAGCGGGCTCTGGCGCTACTCAGCGAGATGCGGGTCGCGAAACTGGAGCCCGACGTCATTTATACTACAATACCGGGCTCAGCGCGTGCCAGAATGACACATTGTTTACGCTCGCCAGGCCCGCGGCGGCGGCGCCTCCGTGGTCCCGCTAGTGCAGCGACGCTGCCCTGGCCCAGGAGAGCCCCGCGATTGCCCCGGAAGGCCCCCAGAAAGCTCCCCTGCTGCGCAAGAGGGCTCCCAGACGGCCCGAGAAGGCTCCCACCAGGCTTCACCCGACTCCCAGATGGCATCTGAGAGGGCCACGAGGACGCAAAATTATCGATAGTCTTTCGGTTTTTCGATGCTTCCTCTTGCGATCACGTCTGCGGCCAGAAGACGCACAACCCACCCCGAGAAGCCTCCCAGATCGTCCGGGGGGCGCCCAGGGAGCTTCCAAGAAAGCCCCTACGACGGCCTCAAAGAAACTCGAGACGGCTCCAGGGACTCCCAAGACGGCCGAACAGCCTCCCAAGTCGACCCCAAGAGAGGCCCAACAGGGCCAACTCTGGAACGCTCTCCCCCCTTCGTGCCTCTCCAACGGCCGTCAAGCCCCTAAGGAGCCCCCGATGCGCTCCAAGACGGCCTCCGGAACACTCCCCAGAGGCTCCCGGGGAAAACCTCCAGCAGCTCCGTCGAAACGGCTCAGACATTCTCCTACAAGGGCCCAGTTCACTAGAGCAGGTGATACCCCATGGGCTCCTCGCCGGCCTCCAGCAGCTCCCTCCGAAATGCTCCGATGGGCTCCTGGAAAGCACCAGCTCATGGGAAAGAGCCATATCCCCCCACCTCTTGTTAAACCTCTCGCGCGGAAGGGGGTGCAGAAGGTAACTGTCAGATCCAGCCTGCGGCCACCTGGGAACGTTGTTTGTACGACCCTTCCAGCGCCGAGCGTGTCCCAAGAGGCGTGAGGTGTGGCTTTCCCCGTTATCATATTGGGCATCCTCCTTCTCTTCACCGTCGTCGCTCTCCTCCTCCACGGGCGCTCCTGCCCGCAGAGTCGGAACCGCACGATTTCCAGGAGGAGGAGGAGGAGGAGGAGGAGGAAGAGGCGGGGGATGAGGACGAGCCAAGCACGAGGAGGAAGCAAGGGCGGAGGAGGAGGAGGACGAGGATAAGGATTATGATGATGATGATGATGATGAGGAGGAGGAGGAGGAGGAAGATGAGGAGGAGGAGGAGGAGGAGGAGGAGGAGGAGATGAGGAGATGAGGAGATGAGGAGAAGAGGAGATGAGGAGATGAGGAGATGAGGAGGATGATGAGGAGGAGGAGGAGGATGATGATGATGATGATGATGATGATGATGATGATGATGATGATGATGATGATGATGATGATGATGATGATGATGATGCTGATGCTGATGCTGATGCTGATGCTGATGCTGATGCTGATGCTGATGCTGATGCTGATGCTGAGGAGGAGGAGGAGGAGGAGGAGGAGGAGGAGGAGGAGGAGGAGGAGCTGCTGCTGTTGCAGGCTGTTGCTACTGCCCATGCTCATGGATCTGCTACTGCTGATACTGCTAGCGCTGCTCTGAACGCCCTCAGAAGCATCAAGCAAACAGCGCACCCTGAAGCAATGAGAAGCAACAAGGGCACTCTGACCACTGGCACTCATGGACGGTAGTCCACGGGTCAGCCCTAGTCTACAACGTTGGGGGAACCGCGTGCCAGAAGCACGGTGGATCCAATGGCCCAAAGCTGGCCCTGGCTGGCCCTGGGGGCCCCAAGATGGCGCAAGATGGCCCGAGACGCTTCCAGACGGTCCAAGAGGTCGCCAATCTGGCTTTGAGACGGCCGCACGGAGCGGGAACACGGCCCGAGAGGGCTTCAAGAGGCCCCAAGACGGCCCAAGAGGCCCCCAAGACGGCCCCAAGATGGCCCCACGAGAGGAATCTTAAACTGACTTTTCGCGCCTTCCGCTCCAGGATGATCCCAGAAACCGCCAGCTGGCTTCAAAGAGGCCCCCCCGACGCACCAGAATGCCCCACAGTGCACGAAGACGGCCCAAGAAGGCTCCAAGAGGCCCCCAAGAAGGGCCCCGAGAAGCCAAAATCATTAATTTCCCATAGGTTTTTTGAAGGGTTGCAGCGTTCTCGTCTTTTCGGAGCCTCGACGCTCCAAGCCAGCCCCAGGGCCCCAAAATTCGCGCCACGATGTCCCAAGAGGCCCCCAAGAGGCCCCCAAGAGAGCTCCCTGACAGCCCAAGAGGGCCCCAAGACGGCCTAAGAGGCCCCCAAGACGGCCGAAGACAGCCCCAAGAGGGCCTCACGAGGGGAACTCCAACTGACATGTCAGGCCCTCTGCTCCAGGATGATCCCAGAAACCGCCAGCTGGCTTCCAAGAGTCCCTCCCCCCCAACGCACCAGAATGCCCCACAGTGCACGAAGACGGCCCAAGAGGGCTCCAAGAGGCCCCCAAGAAGGGCCCCGAAAGGCCAAAATCATGAATTTCCCGTAGGTGTTTGAAGGGTTGCAGCGTTCTCGTCTTTTCGGAGCCTCGAAGATCCAAGCGGGTTCCAGGGCCCCCAAGGTCGCGCCAATGTGGCCCAAGAGGCCTCCAATGTCGCGCCAATATTGCCCAAGAGGCCCCCAAGAGAAGTCCCAGACAGCCCAAGACGGCCCCAAGACGACCCAAGGGGCCCCCCAAGACGCTCCCAAAACCGCCCCCGAGACGCGAACATGACGCCATCTATCCTGATCGCCTGGCGGCCGCACCTGTTCACCTCGCAAGTGGACGTAGTCCACGTGTCAGCCCTAGTCTATACTACACTACCAAGCAAAATGCGTGCCAGTGGGGCCTGTAGGGCGCGAAGCGATCGATATTTATTATGTTTTTCGGTGGCTTCTCTGCTGCTCGCTCCTGCAGAGCCATGACACTACACACGCCAACGCAGGCCTCCGCCTTGGGCCCAGCAACCCCTCCCGCACGGCGCGTGTCCCAGGAGGTGTGGGGCATGGTATTCTTCCACTGCGGCTCCTTTTTTCCGTCTTCCCCTCTGACCATGGAAGTCTTCAGGACCCTCCCGGGGCTCTACCGCAGATTGCCACTTCGAGGACGGCCGCTTGATGGAAAAAACCATACCCCACTTGGGACGCGTCTCGCGCGGGAGGGGTTCCACTGACAGCTTAGGGTACGAGTCGCCAAACGCCCAGGATTGTTTTTTTCAGCAACCCCTCTCGCACGGCGCGTGTTCCAGGAGGTGTGGGGTATGGCTTTCTTCCACTTAGGCCCCCTTTTCCTTCTTCCCCCTGACCATGGAAGTCTTCAGGGGCCCCCCCCGGGGCTCTACCGCAGATTGCCACTTCGAGGACGGCCGTCTAATTGGAAAGAACCATACCCCAGGGACGCGTCTCGCGCGGGAAGGGTTCCACGAACAGCTTAGGATACGAGTCGCCAAACGCCCAGGATTGTTTTTGTTCAGCAACCCGTCTCTATCGGCGCGTGTCCCAGGAGGTGTGGGGTATGGTTTTCTTCAACTGAGGCCCCCTTTTCCTTCTTCCCCTCTGACCATGGAAGTCTTCAGGACCCCACCCCCGGGGCTCTATCGCAGATGGCCACTTCGAGGACGGCCATCTGATGGGAAAAAATTATCCCGGCAAAGCAACCTAACAGCGATGTGTAGGAGCATATCTGGAAGCATTCCCCTTAAGATTCAGATGAGAATCCAGTTGTAGAGTTCTGCTGTTCTCGCAGTCGTAGTCGCATTCGCGATGACAGTCGCAGTGGCAACGGCAGTCGCAGTCACAGCCTCAGCCTCAGCCTGCCTCAGCCTCAGCCTCAGCCTGCCTCAGCCTCAGCCTGCCTCAGCCTCAGCCTCAGCCTGCTTCAGCCTCAGCATCAGTCTGCCTTCAGCTTCGGCCTCAGCCTCAGACTGCCTCAACCTCAGCCTGCATCAGCCTCAGCCTCAGCCTCAGCCTGCCTCAGCATCAGCCTGCCTCAGCTTCAGCCTCAGCCTCAGCCTGCCTCTGCCTCAGCCTCAGCCTGCTTCAGCCTCAGCCTCAGTCTGCCGTCAGCCTCGGCCTCAGCCTCAGCCTGCCTCAGCCTCAGCCTGCATCAGCCTCAGCCTCAGCACGAAGCAACCCAGCTAGAAGGACAAAGCGCTGAATGTACACCGATGTGTTCGACGACTGCGTATGTAATGATGTGACGATATACAGACTGAGCCCTTCGTGAATGTCTACATGTTTTTCTGACGCCTACAAACGGCGCTGACGTGTGTGAGAAAATTGTCCGCGCAGCAAAAGCCGGCGAAGCGTGCAGACAGCCAGCTGCAAAAGGTTGCGAGCGGCTCTTGGAAGACGTTTACGGAACGGAGCTACGGTGTCTGAAAACATTGGCATCGAAGCGAAGAGCCTCGGAGCCCTGCAGCCTGAGAAACACCGCAGGAACTCGCATACTGAAAAGGAATGCATTGCAAACCGCACGTTGCGAACCCTGCAGGCTGAGAAGCACCGCAGGATGTCGCATGCTGAAAAGCACTTGTACTGCAGAGCGCAGGCTGCGAAACCTGCAGGCTGAGAAGCACCGCAGGAACTCGCATGCTTTCGAACACTACTGCTCGAGACCGCAGCTGGAGAGCGGCAGACCGCAGGCTGAGAAGCACCGCGGGCAGAGAGACTTGCAAAACTCAGATGTCCTGATCGTCTTGGAGGAAGTCACGCCAGTCCGGCGGCTGCCAAGAATCGATGATGCGCCTGGAGCCACCGCCCGTGCTGCCGCCGATGTCCAGGTAGTCGCCATCGCCCCTGAACAGACGGCCGTGCCCGCACGCCAGAATCGCTTGGTTGCGGATTTGAAGCAGCGCTCCGCTCTCAAACATCTGCAACACGTCCAGCTGCCTGCGCGTGAAGTTCGGCTTTGCCTGGCCAGCCTGGGCAGACAGATGGAGGGAAAGCCGCTCCCCCTCGTTGTAGCGCGCGATGGCCTCGGCCTTCTGGTGGTGCAGCCGGCGCCGCTGTTGCCGCAGAGCTTCCTCGGGAACTGCTGCATCACGGCCCTCACTGTGATCAGC